TCTTCCATTTGATGGTGATGCATCGTTGTTCATATTCTTCTCCTTTGCAACATCCGCTCTCCCTTTCAATGTTACCTTTTGCAATATTCGTGCCTTTGGTGATTGTTCCCAAATGCAACGTATGTTCCTATTAGTCTATTGTGCATTGCCATATGCAACGTATGTTCCACTTGGAGCTGAATTGCCATATGTAGCGAATTAGTAGCTCATCTTCCGACTCTAGGTAACATTTTCTTTCTTTTGCATAACCCTTTGCCATTTGCAACGTGTATTCCGTTTGGTATATTAGATATAACTATATGGAAAGTGCGTTTCCCTTCGTATTTCAATGTGTATTTAACTGGGTATTGATTTCATATCTTTATCAGATGTACTTGTGTTGAACTGCACATTCAAGTGTGCAGAAATGGTTAAACGTAATTTAGTAATTTCAACGTGATTTAGTAAATTCACTTGAAGATATTTACACATTCACGTGAAAGCGTCGATACTATACGTTTTGGCTTGTGTCTTTGATCGCCTTTTTTGGTGTTTTCTGTCGAGAAATTTGTTGTTAAGCCAACTTCGGTTATGCTGTTACATTTAAAGAACGCACAGCGGTGTGAGTTGCAGCCCTTTACAGAATTCCAATTAGATCTTTAGTTTGTAAAGACATAAATCGTAAAATGGTGTTTAACCCCTTAATAACACCTGATGACGTCACTGGAGAGGGCGTGGAAGATAATTCTCCTGAAGAGACGACGAGACGTTGCAGATCGACCTTTGATATCAGAAGATCGAGGTGGGAAAGCAACAGCGCAAGACGAGCAAACGCGACTCGCCCAAATTTGACTCAACTTGTGACTCGCGATTCCAACACCAACGGCTCACGCGCCTATCGCCTTGTCCAGAACTGTGCTTTTATTTACTACCCTCGTTAAAGTGAATCCCTTGATGTATATGCATAACACTTTTATAGCTTTTAAATTCATTACAAAGTTACTGTATCTTTAACTGGAATAAATACGGTAGGTGTAAACTGACCTTAGCGACAGGCAGATTGCAAACGAGTTTCTTGGCAGATTTACAATCCGCGGGATTCTGCAACGCGTGGATCCGATTTTGCACCAGACTGGTAAGTTTCTCCGCCTCACTCTTCTGCCAAGCGTGAAGACCGGACTCTTTGCGAAACCTCCAGAGGTCGGATTGCGTCACGCTGTGTGAAGGAACATCGTCGCATCTTTGAATACACACACACATATAAATATTTGTATATATACATACACACATGTATATGTGCATATATACACACACAAATACATATAGAAAGACACACATCTATATCTATATCTATCTATCTATCTATCTATATATCTATATATCTATATATCTATATCTATCTATCTATCTATCTATCTATCTATCTATCTATCTATCTATATATATATATATATATATATATATATATATATATATATATATATATATATATATATAAATGCAAGTGTTTATGAGTGTGTTTGTTTATACTTGTATTTATTTACATATATATTTATATATGTATATATATACATATATACATATGTGTTTATATATATAACGAGGGAAGGAGAGAGATATGTGCACACACACACACACACGCATATATATATATATATATATATATATATATATATATATATATATATATATATATATATATATATATATTATATATATAGATATACATACATATATATATATATATATATATATATATATATATATATATATTAACTTATAAAGTTATTACGGTGATACTGAATTATTTAAATTATCTAGCATCGTGTCCTGTGCAGAGTGTTTGCGATGCGAGTGCTCACAAAAAATATGACCATATGGTCCATGTGGTTAGCTAGATATTATAGATGATTATTATAGCTTGATCTATGCTTGCTTTTGATAGACTCGGAATAGTTATAATAGTTATAATGTTATAATAAGAACTGTTGGACATCATAAACTTGATCAAATCCAAGCACCTATAATTCCCTCAAAGAAAGTACCTGAAATAATGTTTAACATCCTCGATAACATTGGCGAAGTTTTCCCTATTTTCGCTTGCTGCTTGACTCTGCAATCGTCGGAGCTGCGCTAAAACGAACTGCCTGGTGTGGTAGACGTCGCTCTCGACCTGTCTGAGGAGCGCGTCCGTGTTCTCGTGAAATCTGGGACCCGTGTACGACTCCTGTGGTTTGCTCGTTCCCGCGAAGGCGAACTTTTGCTCCTGTTCGCTGGTCGTCGTGTCTAGGAAGAAACAAATGTATGTGTTTGGGATGCTATTCACTGGATACTTTGAAAATAATAGCAATGTAATTATGACGTATGTACTATTATAAACCATTTTAATAACTTCAATTGGTGTCTAATTCTGGGAATGAAGGAACAATTACATAACGGGGAAAGATGAATTCTTCAGGTGAACATAAATGCCGGTAAAACTAACCTGTATGTGTCTCTGGTTTCCTTTCATCTCTAAGTGGTTGTAGGAATGGTCTGGAACATTTAATACTGTAGATTAATCTGTTTATAAGATTATAAACCTATCATTATCTCTCTCCGAAGAAATTAATAACTCATAGCTGGAGTGAGATGAAAAAGTTGTGTGCCAGTTTCTGTAAGATGCAAATATCCGTGTTTGAGTTTTTGTGAAGGTGTGTGTATGTTAATATACTGAACAAAGTCTAGTCTAAACTTCATTTTAGAATATCTACACTCAAATGCAGAGACATAGCTTGTATGTATAAATATGTACACGCAGACTCTCTGATTAACTCTATGTTTGTGCATATGCGTATGTGTATAAGTGAGTGTTTGCTGTTATGAACCATACAAGTATATATGAATCATTTAAGGCTAAAGAACCAAGGATGATGCCTACACACTCCCGGACCCGCTGAGACGGAGGACTGACTTCGGTACGAGAATCAGCAGTAGAATCAGGAGAAAGAATTCCAAAACAAAGAACCGATGAAGTGTTTCTCTATATACCAGCATCGATGTCCTGAAAAGAAGAAAAAAAAAACAGTTCATTTAAAATCCTCAGTTACGAATTTCATTTCATTTTGCGTTAATGAGTGAGGTAGTGGCAACTGTACAAAAAATACAAACATATATATGTGTGTGTGTGTGTGCGTATGAATATCTATCTTTCCATCTATCTATTTATTTATCTCTGCATATAAATATATGATATATATACATATATATATAATATATATATATATATATATATATATATATTATATATATATATAATATATATATATATATATGAATATATATGTACATATATACAAATTTACATATAAATAGATAAATATTTATATATATTATATATACTAAGGCTGCTTGTTATATAAACTGACTGAATCAGAAAATTACTCTATGTATTATATTTCAAAATATTATCTAATGGATTAAATCACAAAATAAGGTACACACAAAACTCATTAAAGTAGGAAAGAAATATTAACTTAACATTAGCTTATCTCTGGCAATATGCCTAGATCACATGCTTACATTTTATAGTCAAATTGTGCCTTTGTGTATTTGTGTGTAGGCATCCAAGTCTTCTGCGGGCCTGCATGCAAGTATTCGTGTGTAAGCAAAAGTATGCTACCCACTGTACGGGTGTGTATGTGTGTGACTTAAGTAACAACATAATGACAGGAAGGAAGGAAAAAAGGGAATTCCTACACATGTGAGTGGACATTATTTTTTTGTGCGCAAACTTTTAGATACAAAAAGAATTCCCACAAGCACCAAGAACCCCAATTAATAAGAACGCCAAAGAAAGTATACAGTAAATAAGTGCATATAACAGCAATGTAAACAGACACATCGACATGGCTTGGTGAGTTGGATTACAAATCAAGTCCCAACGCGGCACTGCATCTTATCAGTAGACTAATCGAGAGTTGATACTTTTTATCGGCTGCACCTGCAAACGACGGTGCCAGGTGCTCTCACTGGCTGTGAGGACTGTCTGATGGGTCTGCCTTTGTTCGATATAAGCGGAAGGTGGTATGTCAGAATGCTATGATATATAGATATGATATATATTATATATATATATATATATATATATATATATATATATATATATATACATACATATAATATATATTATATATATATAATATATATATATAGATATGATATACTGTATTCATTGGTAAACATATAGCCAAATATATAGTTATTTATCAAAATATGCTTACCTCTTTCTCTTTCTCCAAACGCGCACACAAACTCACACACACACACACACACACACATACACACACACACACATATCATATGTATGTGTGCATATATAAATCTATAAACACACAAGCATACATATATGTATCTGTATGACCATTGTTACACAAAATTGTCTCAGGCGATACTGATGCATCGATACTTGAAAATTGGCTTCAGCGATTCGTCGAAGACCGGTCTCAGCATTAATAAATGCATCGCCCATACTTTATTGTAGAATAGTATCCTAAAGAATATGTAAATATTTGATCTGGATGAATGATGTACTGTAAAAAGGGACTGCAGCGGAAACTTTTTCAAAATCATGCGTGGATAATTTCATGATTTTTACAGCATAATAACTACGATTTCAATATTACTATTATTAACATGTACATCTGTGGCACTTAATGCGTGAAATAAGAGCATAAAAAAGTCATTCATCAACACATCTTGAGCGCAAGCGAGCGAGAGAGAAAACATATACACACTTACAAATAGATATATAGATAGATGTAGATAGATAGATACAGAGAAAGCGAGAGAGTGAGTCAGAGAGAAAGAGAGAGAGATAATTAAAAAGGAAGAGAGAGAGAATGAGAGAGTTAGCGAATGTGAGACAGAGAGAGAGCTAGAGATAGTGGGTATGAGAATGAAAGAAAGAGGGAAAGAGAGAGGTGGGGGGAAGAATAAAGGGAGGGAGGGAGGAAAATGGAAAGAGAAAGACAGAGAAATAA